ACCAAACAAGAAATGCGATGCTCCTGCAGGAAATGACCACATCATTCCCAGAAACTGCCCGGAGCTGGAGGTGGGCCGGGTAGCTGTGAGGATCCTGGACGAGCTGGTGCTTCCCTTCCAGGAGCTTCAGATAGACGACAATGAATACGCCTGCCTTAAAGCCATAGTTTTCTTTGACCCAGGTACGGCTACTCACTTTTATTTGGATTTTCTTAGCCACTTTTCAATCTCCAACATGTTCCAACTCGTTAACACACTTCTCTTTGTAAACCCCTCTGCTGTTTATTCGCCCACAGACGCTAAAGGTCTGAGTGACCCTGGAAAGATCAAGCGGATGCGATACCAGGTGCAGGTCAGCCTGGAGGACTACATCAACGACCGGCAGTACGACTCGCGGGGACGCTTCGGGGAGCTGCTCCTGCTGCTGCCCACGCTACAGAGCATCACCTGGCAGATGATCGAACAGATCCAGTTCGTCAAACTCTTCGGCATGGCCAAGATCGACAACCTGCTGCAGGAAATGCTTCTTGGAGGTGAGCTCTTTTACATCATGTGTAACCAAGACGACTGTGGCTTTCTTTATATATGCTGCAGTAAATTAAGACTGACAGTTTGTTTGTTTGTTTTGTCGCCAAGGTTCTGCAAACGAAGCTCCACACGCACCTCACTCTCTGCACCCTCACCTGGTTCAGGAGCATCTCGGCACCAATGTTATAGTGACCAGCAACATCCCATCAGCGATCCATAACGGTCAAATCTGTAAGCAGAAATATGAAGTAAACTGTTGTGGCCTTTAAGATTCATGCTTCAGCTGCTTCCAATGCGCTTTACTGCTCGAAAACAGACTCTTTGTGAGTTTAATCAGTGAAATCAGGAAGATTAATCTAAGTGAACTCAAAATCAATCATGTCTGAATGAACACAGACGGTTGAATCTCTGAGCTACATGTGCTGCCTGGTCGGGTAGCTGGAAGGACAACAGGCTTGGCAGAATAATCCTCTACATTCTTCATGGAAACTAATCTGGCTTATTTGGTCAAAGAGAACTTCTGTTATTCTTTCTAAACATGTTTAATGCTCTGAGAAATTTCGCAAAAGTGCTTACTTCTTTATCTGTGTTGCACCCAAATCATGTTCTCCCACAGAATGGGAAATATACCCCTGCTTATGCGGCAGTTTTCTCCCTCTAAATCACTACTGTTTCTTTCTGTGTTCCACTTTTTCAGCCACTCCTGGAAGCCCAATCCCGTCTCCACCTACTGCCTCCAGCTCTGAACATTATAAACTGCCTCAAGGGGTCATAGCCACCGTGCCCAAGCAGCCGACCTCCATCCCTCAGCCTACTATTACAAAGCAGGAGGCCATCTAACAGTCCTCTGAACCCTTATTCCTTCAGTTTTTTTATTGTCTTAAACCAGGGTTTTTATATGTAACTTCATACATAATCAGCATCGAAGCTGTTAACCTGTCTGAAACAATAAAGTTGCTTTATATGTAGAATGAAATTGCAAATATGTCCCTTGAAGATTGCTGTTTGTCTTCAGGGATGTATTTGTTCTCACATGCAGCTGCAGTTAAGCTCAGTGAGCGCCAAACAAAACTCAAGGCATCAAAAATATCCTGTTCTGTAAGGTCGATACATAAAAAGACGTCCATTGTTGTAAATATGTAGTTTATTATTGGGTAACATCACTTCCTTCAGCATGGCCTCAGTGTGTGCAGTAAGGCTCATGTTAGACGTGATGTCAGTATTTGATGAATGTTACAGCAGGCCTTACATTGTTGTGTATGTAGTGTTGCACAGTATTTTATTTTATGCTCATTAGTGCTAAAAGTGTGTCAACTCGTTGTCAGGAACTTAGCAATTCTTCATTGTATCAAAGCTAAATGAAATCACTTGAACGACCTCATCTTTTATGTAACAGGATTAAAATACATTTGGTTTGTTTTATTTACTGGAAAATACATTTAAACAGTAGAACATGTAAGGTAGAAATAGTGAACTCTATGGTGCCACTTTGTAAAAGTCACAGGCAGCCACACTAAAGAAGTTTCCCAATAATATGTTGTAATGGTTTTGGAAAATATATATTATATTTTTTGTTTAGTGCCTTGTGATGGTATTAAACTGTGCCTCATAACCTGTACTGCCTTACACACATAGCATTGTTTCGCCTTACAATGTGAAGATGAATTAATAAATCTCAAGGTCTATTTTTACATTGCATTTTGTACATTTCTTTATATTATCAATGTTTGTAAAGGGGATAAAACATATTCTGACAACTTAATACAGATATATGACACGTTGGAAAAACAATAGTCCAACGTGGCAGTGGTAATTCACTGATAGCCTCAGGTTGCTTCAGACTGATAAAGTGCCATAAAGTCATTAAAGATGCTGTAGCAGTGATTCAAAAAGAGGGAGGGGGGTACTAAGATATATCTATATTCCAGTTGAATAAGTGTAATATATTATCAATTATTAATGATTAGTTCGTAGTTAATATCAACGTGTTGCATTTAGCATAGCTTACATTGACACAACACAAAAAGTGTAAGACTTAAGAATCAGAGTCACCATTAAAAGATATCAGAGATAGTATTTTTCTTTGCAAAACACATTTGAATACAGTAGTTAGATGTAGTATTTTTAAGAATTCATTTTGTAATTTTAAGTAGAAAGCATACCTGGCAGATCTTGAGACGTGATAGTGATAAATGCTGTGCAATATGAAGGCAAACTCTGCCATCTAGCGTAATAAAGTGTAGCCTACTTGAGCCATGTGATCCACAGGGCATGTCAGCAGGCGGTTTTCATGTCATCATAAAATTAATTTACTAGAAAAAAATGGTCAAAAACAGATGTAACAATCTGCAGGAAGAACAACTTCTTTAAATGCCATCTCGCAATGTGCAATTAATGTAGTCCTTAGATTTTAACCAGGTGTCAGTAGGCTACTTTAATGATGGTAATGAGCAACATGTGATGTCCAAAGGCACTGACGCCAATAAATATAACAGTTGAATGTAGTGTTTGTTTTAGCAAGTGAAATCTTCCCACGTCAGTTTCATTTGTTAAATTACCAAACCAAGAGGCTTATAACACCCACTACACAGGGACAATAAAATGTGCACGACGATGTACTTTTTCCCAAGTTTTTAGTGGCTAGTTTCCAATGGGCTCTTGAATGCAATGTCATCAAAAACAACAGACGTAAAACCATGCGTAAATCTGGAACGCCCTGCGTCATCAGCCAATCACATGGTTGATTGTGGACCAATGAGACAGCACCATACCTCTACCCGGAAAAAGGATTTTCCTGACAGGTCGGTAGTGATTTTTGTTTTTTTTCTGGTCGCAGCGTCTCTGTGATGCATTTTTATCTCTTGCCAATGGATGCTCATAAAAGCCAACTATGTGTGTCCTAGTCGTTTAATGTTTAACGCATCTCCGGGTTGGTATTCAGTCCTTATTCTGACTTTAGTTGTGTCGCATCGGTTCTGCTCAGGATGCGGTTGTTTTAGCTAGTCTGTGTCAATGCTATACACAAACATGTAGAGATGCATGCTTTCCTTACCTTTCTGAGGTATCAAGAGACGTATAATTTCTAATATATGTGTTCTCCAGTTAAGGCGAAGTGATATCAAATGATGTTAACTATGCATGCAACAGTGGAGGATGTGTTCATATCCTTTACTGAAGTAGCCTACTACTAATAACTCACTGTGTACTGTACTCCATTACAATTCAAAGTCATGCATTAGAAACCATACCCATTACTGCCCAAATGCTATGATGAATATGATATGGCAAAAATCCACAGCACTTGTTGTGATTGGTCTAAAGACAGATATGATTTGGGCAGGTAACAGGAATTTAAATATTTTAGTTACACAAACGTACTGGTTGCACACTGAAATAGTCCCTGTCAGTGTTTACTAATATATACGTTTTTGTATTAATATTACTGCTTTATTAATATGTATTTTTCATGTTACTGCTGTAGCTGTTGAAGAGTGTGTTTATTTTAACTTTTGTTAACATTGTTGGTAGTTTGATCTAAAACAATGCATCATATCCTCATCCTATTTTTGTCGCTGTTCTGTGAGAACCATATTTTCCTTAATACTCAACTCTTCATCCTTCTAATGAGTCTTTCTTTAACTATTTTCATAGCCTCTGTGTTCCTCTCTCATATACAGTATGTCTCTGTCCAATTAGCTTCACCCAGTCAGCCCATGGCCGATCAGCATGAGTCCATCGATCTCACGTCTCCTCCCGTGGACTCGTCAGCAACTGCAGGCTGCCAACGGCGACCACCAGG